AGTAGTAGTAGTAGTAATAGTAGTAGTAGTAGTAGCCAGCAGTAATACCCATCAATAAATACCGTGAAGTCAGCAATGTCGAAGTAGAGTGTGAGGTAACAGATGGCGACCAAGAGGAGAGTGGGTACATAGGTGCTGCTGATGTAGTACCCGGACAGATTCTTCAGCTCCAGCGACACCTGTTGGAGGGAAACACAAGTAGATGTTACAATCTACTACGAGTACTGAGGTAAGTTTCCCAGTGAGGTGTTGACCTGAGAGTGAATGCGTAATTGCATACACTGTACATGTTACGTTATAAATGCAAGAAAGCGGTTTTCTTACCGTAGAACTGAGATACCTTCACACTGATTACTCACCCAGGAGATTATGGTGTATCACTACGTAGAATTTCACTCTGCTTCCAGCATTCAATGCGCTGTGTACTTCATAAATGATGATTTAATGAATTCCATTAATTTCCAACATCCATCTAAGTTATTGGTTATACTTTGTCATAACCAATCAGTCATTACCTTTGGAAATAATAATAATAGAGGGGTCACAGATACGGGCAGATAATTGCACTTACGTTTATTTGGCACAATTCAATACACAGGACTTATAATTTGCATGGATAGGTCAGTCACTCACATTCACGCCACGGTACCGTAAGTTATAAGGGAGAGTTTGTCAACCTGGAAAATTAATAGTTAGATCTATTAGGCCGGCCTGGAGTGCTCTTGTAGCAAACAGGCCCTCACCAGTGATCAATTCCTTTACAGAGTGCGTTAACTTTTCGCTGGACTTAACAACAATCTCGGGGATTTGCACACACAGACTCGTAGCACTGGTAGGACTGTATGACCCGTTCAAAGTCCGCGGAGCAGGAGTTCTTACCTCACCCAAGGTCTAAGGCCCACTGACTAAAATGTGGTTTTGAGGCGTGAAATGATTATCAGTACAACACTGTCTCACTGGCCTCCCCCTATCGGCTGGCCGAGTACCTTATCTTTACCTAAACAAACATTTGGGATGGGTTGTGCGGCGGGTAGGCCCAACACAACCCATGACAGCACAGAACCCACCAAAACTAAAGTAGTTTAATTATCCAAATACATAGAGTATATCGTGCGTTAGTGCGTAAATATACATAATTCTATGACTATAAATAAACTACTTAGCTATGAATGAATGTATAAATATGTATAACTTTACGTAGATAGAATGATGAACAAAAAAGGGGAAAAGAAATTACTACGCTAGACTTGAACAGGTAACGGTGGAAGATTTAGGCGTAAATAGCGTAAATCAAGTGTAAAAGCGTATAGAAACGACCATAGATGACCTCGTTTGACCTTACCCTCTGACCGGACTTGAGAGGATCATCCACAGGGGTCATGGCAAAGGACGTGACCTCGTACTCCAACAGGGTCTTCATGCCGGTGAACATCACTCCGTCTTCCTCCTGCAGTAGAGTAGGACTTTAAGATTGGACTTGAGGGTGAGGGTTGGACTTAAGGGTGAGTATTGGACTTGAGGGTGATGAGTGAACTTGAGGGTGTGGATTCGACTTGATGGTAAGGTATTGGAGTTGAGGGTGTTGATTGGACTTGAGGGTGTTGATTGAAGTTGAGGGTGTGGATTGACTTGATAGTAAAGATTGGACTTAAGGGTGAGTATTGGACTTAAGGATGAGGATTGGACTTGAGGGTGAGTATTGGACTTAAGGGTGAGTATTGGACTTAAGGATGAGGATTGGACTTGAGGGTGAGTATTGGACTTAAGGGTGAGGATTGGACTTAAGGGTGAGTATTGAACTTAAGGATGAGGATTGAACTTAAGGGTGAGGATTGGAATTAAGGGTGAGTATTGGACTTAAGGGTGAGTATTGGACTTGAAGGATGAGGATTGAACTTAAGGGTGAGGATTGGAATTAAGGGTGAGTATTGGACTTAAGGGTGAGCATTGGACTTGAAGGGTGAGGATTGAACTTAAGGGTGAGGATTGGAATTAAGGGTGAGGATTGGACTTCAGGGTCAGGACTGGACTTAAGGGTGAGGATGGAATTAAGGGACAGGATTGAACTTAAGGGTGAGGATTGAACTTAAGGGTGAGGATTGGACTTGAGAGTGAGGATTGGACTTAAGGGTGATGATTGGACTTAAGGGTGATGATTGGACTTAACGGTGATGATTGGACTTCAGGGTGAGTATTGAACTTAAGGGTGATGATTGGACTTCAGGGTGATGATTGGACTTAAGGGTGAGTATTGAACTTGAGGATGAGGTTAAGCTTAAGGGTGAGAATTGGACTTTAAACTAAAGATTGGAATTGATGGGGATTGGACTTTTCCTCTCTTTCTTTTACTCTCCCACTTTTCCATTCTTACACACACACACTCACTCTGTCTGCTGTCTGTCTCTCTCTTCTCTCTCTCTCTCTCTCTCTCTCTCTCTCTCTCTCTCTCTCTCTCTCTCTCTCTTTCTCTCATAAAAATGCAGTACAGTTCTTACTGTAAAGAGATCTCTTTTATTTAGGACAGGGGATATGGAATTACCTTACCTAACACTCTATGGTATGAGACAGAGAAAGAGAGAGAGAGAAAGAGAGAGAGAGAGAGAGAGAGAGAGAAAGAGAGAATTACGAAGGACTCTCTTATACATTGATGACCCTCGAAGGACTCACTCACATCCTACGAACAACGAAGGAGTCACTCACATCCTATGAACCCCGAAAATCTCATTCACATCCTATAAACCCCAAAGGACTCACCCACATCCTATGAACACCGAAGGATTCACTCACATCCTATGAACCTCGAAGGATTCACTCACCTTATCTAGGATGACGAAGGAGGGAGAGACACCAATTAGACTGAAGGCGACGGAGCACACCTGAGAATCAAACGGGTACAGCTGTAACTGGAACTGACAGGTGAAGTCGACTGTATACACCTGGTACAGCATCATCGTGTTCTCTGAGCCCAGGTACACGTCGTCTGCAGGATACAGTACAGGGAGGATACAGGGAGGTCGTAGGAGAGATGTTTGAGGGAGGGTATGATAAGGGTGCAGGGCCCTAGGACAGGTATTTGAGAGAGAGAGAGAGAGAGAGAGAGAGAGAGAGAGAGAGAGTCACCTGGTGTCAGCGACCATAAAACAACAACAATAACAAAAACACAGAAGAAAAACCAATGTCAAGCAGCAGTGTTTTACCTTCGTACAGTCTAGAGTCGTCGTCAGCGGTGGGGCTCCCCTCCCTCTGCACCAACAGCGACTCCGTCCTGAGCAAGAGGTCCGCCAGACTCCTCGCCCCGTCCTCAACCTGTAGCAGCGGTATCCACAGTTTCTTCAGATCTTGGACTTTGTTATAGTTAAGATCCTTCCTCAGGTTCTTCATGCTCAGTCTCCCGTCCCGCCAGAACAGTTTTAGAATGATGTCCAGCACCAACTTGAAGCCCAGGACATCGATCTTCCTGACGGAGGTGATTTCGACGAGGATGCGGACGGGAACTGGCGTGTTTTGATCCTTAGGTGGAGGCATCTCGAGGGAGTAGCCGATGGGGATTTGTGCCAGGTGGCAGTTCAGCTCGTCACTCCTGTCGGGGCAGTTAGTTGCCAAATCACAGCGTTGTGTCTTGCTGATGCAGGCGCCGTCGTTGCAGGTGTACTCCTCGTCACCACAAGCCGTTATCAGCACCTCCAGCTTCAGGTATATGATAAGATAAGAATGGTTTTAGTGTTCCCTTCTAACACTGAACTAATACGGAAGACACAAGAAACTAATGAGTTTTGGGGTACTTTTATGTCATTCACAAAAATAGAGAGAGAGAGAGAAAGAGAGAGAGAGAGAGAGAGAGAGAGAGAGAGAGAGAGAGAGAGACAAACAGACATACAGAGAGCTAGCTTTCACCGTCTTACCTCACTCGTCACACACTTGTCGCCTGTGATGATCCAGGAGTGAACGCCGACAGGATATTCGGTGGGGACCTTCATCACCATATAACCCGTCAGGTTCTCGTGGCCTCTACTTGTCAACTTCCAGGTGGCGTTGTCACTGTCCCAGGAGACGTCAGTGAAGTGCGGCCCATGGAATTGTGGCTTGTTGTTTTTATAATCCCTAAGGAAGAGATTTCTGTCGATAATTGAATCCTTACACAGTCCCCGCACTCTGAACGATGGTGTAGCGGTGAAGTTGCACAGCGGACATGAGAGGTACTGGCAAGGTGTCCTGTACCAGCCATAGGGAAAGTCAGCGCCGCCTACACTAGCACACAACTGACCTGCTTTGACTTTATCATACCCGGTGGTTAGTTTATCCCAAGTGAGGTGCTGGTTGGTGTTCACGGTCAGCCATTCATCAGTGTTGAGGTCACCCATAAACCCGAGCCAGTAGAACGTCGAGTAGGCGTTCACACACAGGTCATTAAACTTAACAAATTCATCGAATATTTGGGTGTTTTCCTCCTCGTTGGTCGGTATAGCCATCAACCCCTTCATCCCGGAACAGGCGGCGTAGGCTGAGTCAAAATTCATTTTTTCCGGGAGCATCACAAGTCTGCTGGCGTCTTCCTGACAGAGGGATTTCAATGGCGCCTCAGAAACACGGACAAAACCTCTTAGGGTGAACATGGTCATGCTCTCATCGAAGTAGAGAAATGGCTTCACGTTGGTCTCAGGTTCCTCGCATTTGACGTAGGCCTTGAGGTAGGCAGGGGGCAGAACCTCAGGGTACAGGAGGAGTTGAGCCACGTCGTTGTGAACACTCTGAAGGACGTTGAAACCTCCCTCAATGGTATCCAGGTCTTGGCTCATAACGAAGCGCCCGCCACCAGCAATATTCAGCTGCTCAGGAGACTCTGCCTTCACCGTCGCCTCCCGGTACTGCAACAGCCACCACCACCACCATAGATTTTAACCCTTTGAGCATGAGGTAAAACATAAAGGTACATATGACAAGAAGCAACAATGATTCATAAAGACAGACAGACAGACATACACACACTACTACTACTACTTTGCTGTCACTCGGAATGGAGTATGACGATCATCTAGGTATGGTACAATGATATGAGTTATTAGGGATGTCACCTTCATTGATAAGTTTTGAGGTGACTAAAGAGGCCGATACGAGACCGGCAGAGTTTTTCATATATATCACACATGTGCAGGGCTACATCGTGTGCGGGAAGGGCGGTGGCAGAGTTTTTTCGTTCCCTCTTCCCAGTCGTTGCAAGTGTTGCAACGACTGGTAAGAGGGAGATTTGTAATGTACTGCCGATAGCCCAGTTTTGGGGTTTCGCCTTATAACCTGTCCATCATGTATTACCTTTGTAATGATTGTTTACCAGACCATAGCTTATAGCCCAGAAAAGGACAGCACATATAGCAGTGACTGGAAGCGCAGGTTTGTACACCCCCGTAAGTTGACCCACCCTTTGTAATTAAAGTGAGATTAAGTCATGACCCAGAATATGTTCAGTGTTTAATATAATTTGTCAGTGTCCCCCGCGACTTTTAACGTTCTCAGTGTCCCTAGTGCATTTTAATTGTCGGTCAGTACTACATGTACCCATTGTGTTTTAGTGATGGAAGCTGTGCCTATAATAGCTCATAACTTAACATGTCTTATAACCTACATCCTCCTCCCTGTCCTAATCTCCACTCCACCAACCCCATCTTTGCATCCCCGCTCCACCTCAGTCCCCGATTCAGCCTAATGAGAACATTGTCGTGACGGAACCCTAGTCGCCAAACATTGACGTAATGTATAAAGTAAATATCTTTTTCTTACGGATGCACTTACAACTAATTCATCATCCCTTTAGGATTGTCTTTCTCTGTCAAATGTCACACACAGTGCCGCCCCCATGGCCAGCCGGATGTTGGAGATAACCAGCTCACTTGGATATGACCTGACTTCGCATGTCCAAGCTGTATGCAGTGGTAGGGCAGGATGACGACGCTTTATGACAACATCAGCAATCAAGAGGTGACGATGGCCCAAGCATTGACTCTAACCACAGCGCGTACGAACAGAGGAGAAGCAGCGTAATAAATACAAGCACTGCACCTACACCCACCACACACCACAACATTTCTTTCAAGTCCTCCCTTGGACTAGGATTAAGGAGATTTTATATTTTTTTACCTTTATGCAGTTAAGACGTGTGAAACAAGGCCGTGACGAGATGGACCCTGCAGCACCACACATTAAACCCTGGCCGGCCGAACCAAGGAGGGGATTTCCGCTGTGGGTGCTGGGACAGGGCGTACCAGTGCCTCTGCAGCTCCGGTACCGAGATCGGGTACCGGGATGCTGATCCTGCCCCACACGTCATCCAGAGTGATGGCACCCACCCCAGTGTGACCGCTACCCAGGCCAGATTGGCGAAAAATGATGCCCTACACATAGAGGAAATGCAGATGGAACTGAAATAAACATCTGGAATATGTCGCAAAATGATGCTCTACAAAGCAAACTCAGATGGAGTTGAAAAAACACACACAAAAACATCTAGAATATGATAGTAACTGATGCAAGAGGAAATTTGCATTATAAACCAGGAGTAGGTGAAAAGAAGTCAGAAGGTGTGGAAACATTACATACAAGGTGTGGTATTGAAGAAAGAAAAACGTGCAACGAGAAGAGGGAAGACAAGACCTGCTGTGCTGACATCAGAAGAAAGCCGACGATGAGGAGGTGGATCATCGGAAGAACCAGCCTGCCACCGCTGCTGTACAGTACTGCCAGTGTCTCTGATACCAACTGGTGGAGAATGTGAGTCATGCTGGGCCACACTACTGCATTGCTGTTGTCTATGCATATTATAAAAAATACACCAAAAAACACTCTTACATGCAAAAGAAGGCGCATTTTTTTGTATTTTGAAGTATCTCATTGTTACATCTGATACTATTTACCACAGACACTGGTTTTTTTATTATTTAAGGAAGATAAGTCACTTTTTCTATGAGGTCATTTGATCAATGTTCTGTACTACCTAATGCATTGTTGCAGCCATACTGCTGTTTGGGCTTATCATTATTTTGACATAGACTAGCAAGGCCTGTAACCCCTATTATTGTTTGTAATATGTTTTTGCCATTTTTTTCTTCTTAGATATTTAGGATCTTTAGCTCAGTAACTATTCTAGTTGAGCTCATACTGTAGTCACTGAAGGTGTATGTGTCTTTTCTCCTGGCATAGAAGCTTTGATCTTGGCAGGAGGCATAAAAAGTTTTGTTAGACCAAACCAAGCCAGTAGAAAAACATTCATTCACTAACTATGAAGGAAGTGCTGCCGATAGGTAGCGGTTATTGTTTGTAAAATGTGAGGTTGCATTATCCCCCCAGGGGCCATTGTAGATATTACCATGATCTCTGGTGTGGAAGCTTTGGTCTTGGCGAGACGTGTAATGATTGTTTATCAGACCATAGCTTACAGCCCAGAGAATTACAACACATATAACAGAACCGAATGCACAGGTGTACCCCCACGTAAGTTGACCCACCCTTCGTAATTAAAGTGAGATTAAGACCTGACCCAGCAGAGGTCACGGTCATAATAAAGCAGAGTTCTCACCGCCACATAATTAGTCAAACCGGCGTCATGACCGTGTTAACTCATGAAACTAACCTTCAGCCCACACCACGCACCTAATCAAACACAGCTGTCTCGCAAACCCAGATTAGTGTTAATTAGTAACGACATCTGCCGGCATGACACCGCAAATATAGGGGACCGACAGCTCCTTCCCAGAGACACACAGGGAGAGTCAGACCTCAGAGGCAGACGGAGTCACACTCGTCACATGTCGAGGTCAGGAGGGGACTTCCCTCCCCAGCTCCGAGTCCCCAACTAGCAGAGTCTCCCACAGGAGACAAGAGTCAAGCACCCGCTGGAACCACTCTCTTCAGCAGCACCTGCAGACATTTCCCAGCCGCTAGGTCTCCCTCAGGTCACACATGAGTCACTGTCAGAACTATCCATAGGGTGAGTTGCTTATGGTGGGAAGTGTATCCATTTCATGTTTGTGTCTGGGAGTCATTGTCTAGTAATGTCGATATATTTATTAATGTGTCCATGTCATTCAGTTAACTATTGAATAGCTGTACTGTGAAAGTGGTGTTTAGAAGTTTTCCCCTACGAATATAATACCAAGTAAAATAAATAATTGGCCACGCTACCAACTTTCCTCACTTTACACTCCTACAACATAAATTATTACTTTACTAGTACTTCTCTTCTTACCCTCATTATACCTTCATCCGCCAATGTGGTCATTGGGTTCCCGTGGTGGTCACCTCTTCCACCTACACCGCCGTTGGGGTCTTGTTGGAGCTCTGTAAGCATGTCAGCCTGATGCGGGGCTCCACCTCAGATTTTTCATTTAGGGTTTACTCCCGTAGCCTTATACCTACCAAGGTTAATTCGCAAGGCAGCGGGGCAATGGTTGGTAAGCGCCAGGACGTGCCCACATGCCAGTGGGCCTATGCGCTGTCCCTCTGGGGCCCACTACTACTCTTAGATCCCCTGCTTGCTTAGCATGGGCCCACGAGGCACCCAGTTAACGTGTGTTGCCACGAGGAGGCATAGCAGGAGTTTTGATTGTGAAGGGCTGTGCACTGGCAGGTGAAGACTTATGCAAGTTGCTTCCCTGTTTGCCACGAGGGATAGCCAGCGGCGGCAGCTGAAAGCGAGAGGGAACAAACAATGCTTGAACCTTAACACTAACATAATGCTACCACAGTAGATGCATTACACCACCCTGTGCACACACACACACACACTTCAGGTGGAAGTACGTGGGTGACTGCACTGTGGGGGTTTCAGTGGACAACACCGCACCAGACTACTCATCGCTCCAAGGCACCCTGGACAGACTACAGGCCTGGACTATGGCGAACAAGGTCACCATCAACCACACCAAAACCGTAGTCATGCACATCAACACCGCCACCACTCCAGTGCAAGCCCCAGCAGTCACAGTGGGTGCCCATCCTCTCCAGCTGGTGCAGTCTGCCAAACTCCTGGGTGTAACTATAGACAACAAACTTGACTGGAACGCCCATGCAAATAACACAGTCAAGGCAGCCTCGTACCGTCTCTACATGCTACGAAGACTTAGGTCACTTGGGACACCCACGCCAGAGCTGAGGACCATCTACACTGCCTTTATTCTCCCCAAACTAACGTATGCATCACCAGCCTGGTCGTCTTCTCTCAACTCCACCCAACAACGTCAGCTAGAGAAGGTACAGAAAAGGGCCTGCAGAATCATGCTCGGCGCAGAATACTCCGGCTACACCAACGCTCTCTCCACCCTGGAAATTCCATCCCTCAGTGACCTCCACCACCAAGCACTGGAAAGGTTTGGCCGTGGACTACTGCACCACCCTCGCCATCGCCACCTCCTGCCACGTGCAGCCCCCCCACCCAACTCGTGCAGTCCGCCACTACAACAAAATTCAGCCCATAAGAGCCCGCACCGATAGATAATAAGAACAGCACCATCCCATCTATTGTTAAAATAATAAACAACTCCTGATTTATGTACTGTACAGCCCTGTAAATGTATTCAATGCATATTATATCATTATATCTAAATCAGAGGTAAGTCTGTATATTTTCAGCCACCGGCTGCAACTCTATTAATATACCGTTTATTATTATTATTATTATTACACACACACATACACACATACACACACACACACACACACACACACACACACACACACACACACACACACACACACACACACACACACACACAAACACACACATACACACACACAAGGCAGCCTCGTACCGTCTCTACATGCTACGACGACTTAGGTCACTTGGGACACCCACGCCAGAGCTGTGGACCATCTACAACGCCTTTATTCTCCCCAAACTAACGCATGCGTCACGAGCCTGGTCGTCTTCTCTCAACTCCACCCAACAACGTCAGCTAGAGAAGGTACAGAAAAGGGCCTGCAGAATCATGCTCAGCGCAGAATACTCCGGCTACACCAACGCTCTCTCCACCCTGGAAATGCCATCCCTCAGTGACCTCCACCACCAAGCACTGGAAAGGTTTGGCAGTGGACTACTGCACCACCCTCGCCATCGCCACCTCCTGCCACCTGCAGCCCCCCACCCAACTACCGCAGTCTGCCACTACATCAAAATTCAGCCCATAAGAGCCCGCACCGATAGATAATAACAACAGCACCATCCCATCTATTGTTAAAATAATATGCAACTCCTGATTTATGTACTGTACATCCCTATAAATGTATTGAACGCATATTATTTTGTCTAAATCACATGTAAGTTTGTATATTTTCAGCCACCGGCTGCAATTCTATTAATAAACCGTTTATTATTATTATTATTATTATTTTACACACACACACACACAGACACACACAGAGTAAATTACTCACCTGATCGTCATAAGCCAGCCAGGACCTCATGGAATGAAGGTCGACAGCATAACACACATGGTGCCACTTGTACATCTCGACAGAGAGGGACATCTCCACCTGGAGGCGGTATTTACAGCACCTAAACTCCACTATTTGCCGCCTCCAGTTCACCGCTATTGTGTGTGTGTGTGTGTGTGTGTAGAGGAAGAGAAGATGACGTTAGCACAATTACCACCCATATTCACTAAGGACATTAATCAATAAATGTTATCGATAATCGAGACAGGTTATTGTTATCATAATAAGATAACTAATGGTGAAAAAATCGATATATTTTACAGGTTAATAATGACTTATCATCATATATCGCCCGCCTTCCTCTCTAACCCGGTGTGAAGTCATCAGAGGTAAGGAACATAACACACGTACACAATTGAATCTCATTATCGTGGCCATCAGCGAAGTAACTCAGTATTGGCCCGCTGACCGACCCAACGTGCAGTAGACGATATCTGACACATATCGTCACCTGTAATAAACAAACAAGTAATAGGTGAAGTTATTGATCCTAAATTCCATCACCTATGTATAACTCTGATTATTGTTTTGACTGCATAATTCTCTAATACACAAGAACACAAGAACACAAGAATGGAGAAAACTGCAGCGGACCTATTGGCCGATACTGGGCAGTCCCGTTTACACCTAACCCCTGTTGCTCATATATCCATCCAACCTATGTTTGAAGCTATCCAGTGTATTCGTGTTAATGATGATACTTGTATTTGGTAACTTGTTCCACTTATCCACTACTCTATTTCCAAACCAATGTTTACTTATTTCGCCCCTAAATCTAAATTTGTCTAATTTAAAACCATTGTTATGACTTCGCTCCTGGTTGGATAGTTTGAGTACCTTTTATATCACCTTTGTTCAGCCCTGACTTCCATTTATACACCTCTATCATATCACCCCTCACCCTACGTCTCTCGAGGGAGTGCAAATTAAGATGCTTTAATCTGTCTCTGCACTCAAGGTTCCTAATGCCCGGGATTAGTCTTGTCATTCTCCTTTGAATTCTTTTCAGGGATTCTATATCCATTCTGTAATACAGTAATCAGAAATGAACTGCGTAATCCAAGTGAGGTCTCACAAGCGCAAGATATAGTTTTAGGAAGTCTTCAACTAAACTCAAAACATTGAATCTAACTTTTAAAAATATTATAACCCTGACTATAACTTCGGGGGACACTTAAACCTAACCTAACCTAACCTAAGCCGGAATTAATTAAGGTGCTGTGTTTACCTGGGTGAGTGAGGGACCGACGCCTAGTCCGGTGTCCAGGAAATCATCAGTCGTAGCTTGTTCTTCGGTCTGAATAGTTACCACTGTTATGTTGACGCCTCCTGTTGAGGGAGAGAGATGTATAAGCTTTGGGTAGAGTTCCCTTAACTTGGCTTATATATAAATAAGTTGAGAGGTTAAGTTACAAACCCAAAATGGTCTTTTCTCCATTTATTTGTAAAACTATATTGGTTACAGTCTATTAGTAGATGCACCGTAATTAACACTGTAAACTGTGAGTGTTAGTGAAGAGCGCTTGACTGAGTTAGGTCACTCGTCCGATTCTCGTGAGCACATGGCACCTCACAGCTTAATGGAAAATTACAGGTGGGTGATTGTATTATATAAACTAAATGTATTAACCCAAATTTATATAATTGTTATTGCCATGTGACAGGGGCTAATACAGAGAGAGAGAGAGAGAGAGAGAGAGAGTAAACATTAATCGTCTATATTCACCATACCTCTACAAACATACACACAAATACATTAATACAACTTATCTTCAATTAAGTGCCAAGACAGAACTACAAATACTGGTTAAAATTAATGATAAATAGCACACATGTCTCCCTAATTACAGGTGAAAACCATAAAAGGTCCACACAGGTGCTAGAGACAGGTAGGGAAGACTCCTCACCTGAATCAATACTTGTTAATTATGACAAAGACTATCACACTGAAGCATAAATCTCACTGTCTGTCTGACTCTCTCTCTCTCTCTCTCACCTCCTGGACCAGAAATCATTAACAATACTCTATCACATCTCTATCAAGCCATTTCTTTCACATCACTATAGAATGTGTGTGTGTGTGTGTGAGTGTGTGTGTGTGTGTGTGTGTGTGTGTAATAATAATAATAATAATAATAATAATAATAATAATAATAATAATAATAATAATTATTATTATTATAATATTATTAATAATAATAATAATAATAATAATAATAATAATAATAATAAGAATAATAATAATAATAATAATAATAATAATAATAATAATAATAATAATAATAATAATAATAATAATAATAATAATAATTATAATAATAATAATAATAATAATAATAATAATAATAATAATAATAATAATAATAATAATAATAAACGGTTTATTAAAAAAGTTCGGCAGCCCGAAGGCTGAAAATATACAAAGGACATAAATGACTTACAAAGACATGGGGTATTTAACAAAAGCTTTCATTAGATAAAGAAAAAGGAACAGACAGTGAACATACAAATTAATGTTTACAGTGGAGGTCACGTAGGGCACATGCTCTGTGTTAAACAGCAAACACGTGGCGTAGTAATTCCCTCACAGATGGTGTTATTAGGACCTCACGTGGTGTAGCAATTCCCTCACAGATGGTGTTATGAGGGACCTCACGTGGTGTAGCAATTCCCTCACAGATGGTGTTATGAGGGACCTCACGTGGTGTAGAATTTCCCTCACAGATAAGAACATAAGAACATAACAAAATAAGGAGTCTGCAATAGGCCGGTTGGCGTGTGCTTGGCAGCTCCTGTCGAGAGTTACAACCACTCTCTATCATCCATGAATCTATCTAGCCTCCTTTTTAAACTTTCCAGCGTTCCAGCACTTACTACAAAGTTGCTAAGCTTATTTCACTCGTCCACCACCCTATTTTTGAACTAGTTCCTTCCTATCTCCCTCCTAAACCTAAACGTATCCAACTTAAATCCGTTGCTACAAGTCCTATCCTGCTCGGATATTATAAGAACTTTATCTATATCTCCTTTATTGATTCCTTTCACCCACTTAAATACTTCTATCATATCTCCCCGCACTCTTCGTCTTTCTAGGGAATGCAAGTTTAGTTTCTTTAACCTATCTTGATATGGAAGGTTTCTAAGTCCCGGAATCATTTTCGCCATTCTTCGCTGCACCGACTCTAGTGAATTGATATCCATTCTATAATAAGGGCACCAGAACTGAACCGCATAATCGAGGTGCGGCCTGACTAACGCAAGATATAGTTGCAATTAGACCACTGCACTCTTATTACTTACACTTCTAGATATAAAACCTAATACTCTGTTTGCTTTATTTCGAACATTAACGCACTGTTTTCTAGGCCGTAGGTCCGGGCTTAAAAGTACCCTTAAGTCTCTTTCACAAGTCGACTTCTCATGGTTGATGTTGTTAAGGCTGTATACATTGACAGTATTTGTTCTTCCAATATTGAGTACGCTGCACTTGCTGGTGTTGAATTTCATTTGCCATTTTTCAGACCACCCCTGCAGTTTATTTAAATCCTCCTGTAGTGTATTTGCATCCTGCCCTGAATTAATCTGCCGCCCTATTTTGGTGTAATCAGCAAACTTGCTTCTGTCACTGCTGATCCCAGTATCTAGATCGTTTATGTAGATTATGAACAAGAGTGGGCCCAGTACTGACCCCTGGGGAACCCACTGGTAACACAGCGCCACTCAGATTTAACACTATCTATGCTGACCCTCTGTGTTCTATCGGTATGCCATTTTATCCAATTTAAAACTTTCCCCTAGATACCATGAGCCTTAACTTTTCTCAGAAGCCTCTGACGCGGTACTTTGTCAAACGCTTTGCTAAAGTCTAAATAAATAACATCGTAATTGTCGTCATTATCTACTACCTCGAATACTTTCCTAAAAAACGTCAGCAGATTTGTTAGACAAGATTTTCCCTTTGTAAACATATGTTGAGAGTCGTAGATTAATTTGTTTTTCTCTAAATACGATCGGATGCTATTTGCTATAATTGATTCAAGAAATTTCCCCACTACTGACGTCAAACTAATACCCCGGTAATTTGTCGCTGATGCTCTGTCTCCCTTTTTGAATATGGGTACTACATTTGCCTGTTTCCACAAGTCTGGAACAACTCCGGTGTCTAATGAATTTGTAGCTAAATTTACGAGGGGTCCGCTAATCTGTTCCTTACACTCTTTCAAAACTCGGGAAAAATTTCGTCCAGCCCTAGGGATTTTGTCTTCTTTAATTTATTTATCTTCTGAAGAACATCCTCTTTTCTGATAGTGATATTCTTTAATTTCTCTTCTTCATTTCCCCTAAATATCAGTTCCACCTCTGGAATTTCCTCGTGAGTTTCTTCTGTGAAAACTGATAAGAAGTAGCTGTATAATGCTTTGCTTATTTTCTCGCTGTCATCGACCACTTCCCTCTCTCTGACTTTAAAGGTCCCACTTTGTCCTTCACCTTTGTCCTATGTACCTGGAAAATCCCTTGGGATTCGCCTTGGATTCTCTTGCTATCCTGTTTTCGTAGTCCCTCTTTGCCTTCCTTACATTTTACTTAACATTCCTAGATAGTTCAGTATACCTGTTTCTGAGCTGCTCCTTCCCTCCCTTTAATTTCTTATAAATTCCTTTCTTTATTCCTATGTCATATTTAAGTTTTCTGGTCATCCACCTTGGCTCATTCTTATTTGACGATGGTGTTATGAGGGGCCTCACGGTGTGTAGTAATTCCCTCACAGATGGTGTTATGAGGGACCTCACGTGGTGTAGTAATTCCCTCACAGATGGTGTTATGAGGGACCTCACGTGGTGTAGTAATTCCCTCACAGATGGTGTCATGAGGGACCTCACAGGAAGCTGTAACAACTCATTCACTACGTGGTGTCGTAGCGTCAGGGGACACCACGTGGCCTGGTGTCACAGGACCTCACTCACTCAAGTGGTGTACAGTCAGGTGCGGTCCCAGGTGTGAACATAAGAACATAA